TATGTGGACATTTAAAAGTAAAGGTGTATATACTTGGATAGTAACCTCACATCATCAGTCTATAAGTACCCACTGCTGAGCAAAAGCCTCTTTCCACACGAGAAGGTATGCTAAAGGCGTATTGGCTATTTCAAACTTAAACATAATTAGAAGTTATAAGTCCTGGTTTCGTCACATTGTTTTCTTTCACCGTATGTGTGTGGTGTCATAATGAACTTAGAAGTAAAAATGACTCGGCAAAAGTCACATTGGCACTTGCCAGGTTTTGAACCCATAACTTGTACATTAGAAGCGGGCCATCACGACCATACAGAATCTTATTGACTGAAAAACTACTTTGTTCCTTCTTCTGTTCCAAGCCGATTCCGTGGTCCATTATTGTGCTCGACCTGCAAACAGAAAACAATGCTTGGGTTGTGTTTTGTCTGATAAGTGTGTTTGTCAGAGGTCCAATCCAGCCTCCATATTACCAAATCCTAAATCCCTAAATCATATACCCAAGGGGCTGCAAAGCAATAGCAATTCCTCTGGTGTTGTTGGTATCCGTTGGCCTCGTTAATTGCTTACCTACAGGTGCACGATTCCCGCACGGAACAACTCTTTGTGTGATCCACAAATTGTTGTTCCGGGTCTGGGTGTGATGTGTATGTGAAATTGTATGTTTGTAAACGCACCCACGTCCACGTTAAAAAAAAGAAAAAAAAAGATCTTACAGCTCTATCTATTATTACAGCCCTATCCCATAACAAAAAAAGAGAGAGTGAGATGGTAAAGAAATAAATGTATGTATTTCTGTCCGTCGTAACAACGATAACTACACAAAATTCGCAGAGAAATCGATTAGGTTTTAACGTAATTGCCAAATTAGTGACTGGTACATTTACGATCTGAAATTTTCCCATCCCTTTCGGGCCTAAAGATATCCTTATTCGAATATTGGGACTCAATTAAATTTCGTGTTTACATTTGATAATTAGCCGAACTGTGTGCACATTAAGCCAACACCGCGATTACATACGATACATTGATTGCTTTTGTTTGTAAATTAAACAATAATTTATTCATATTAATGTTAATTTGAATTGTTTATTTTCCTGTTTACATTTGACATTGGGTGAATTGCTTTTATTCATTGAGTGATTTTGGTGTTTGAACAGATTTAATGTCTTTTTAATATTGCGTGTTTATATAATTATGACCGTTTGTCTTTGCGAATTGCGTGTTTATATTTCTTTCAATAAAAATCTCTTATTTTGGACAAAATAACGCTGACTAATATTATTTTATTACTTAAACGTTTTATGTAGATGTAATACAAAGTTTTAATTTTCTGAAAGGGAAACAATTCTTTTTTTTCAATCTATGAATACGAAACTGGAACCCTATTAAGGCCAAGCGCAACAATGTACCATGGTCTCGGTATAGACCAGACAAGGGAATGGGGAGGTTGTTAGTCAGTTAGAGTCTGACACTCCCTCTCTCCATACCCTGGGGGAGAAAAGTGATTTGATTATTTTCCCTCCCCAAAAAAGGTGCTATTGGTGATTGAATAGATTTAATATCTTTTTAAAATTGCCTGCTTATAAAATTACTAGCTTTTGTCTAGTTACTTACTGCAGATTTTCGGTATAAAAACTATGCTATGTCCTTTCTCGAGTACTGACTTATGTCTGTACCAAATTTTCACAGAAATAGGTTCAGTGGTTTAGGCTTGAAGAAAAGACAGAGAGACAGATAGAGAGAGTTATTTCGCATTTACAATATTAGCACAGATGACAATTTTTTTCTTTTAATAAAAATCTCTTATTTTAAATTAAAAAAAAAAATAAATATAAGAGATTTTTATTATTTTAGGAAATAATTTGCTTTAATTTTCTGAAAGGAACACAATTTATTTGAAACGAAACTACAGCCGTATTAAGGCCGGTGTCCATATTTTTTTTTTCATTTGTTTTTGAAAATGTGCAGCTTTAATTTTGTCCATAAAATGTACGTGATGTTTGTACAATAGAGAGAAGGGTTACTGTAACTCCCCGCTACCAATAATTGATATTTCTTCCTTATGATTGCTAACTCATTAATTGCATCATTTCTTATCTAAATGTTGTACTTACGTTTGAGTTGCGTTTATTTGTGTAATGTAAGTAATATAATATTAATGTTATAAATTTAATACAGTCATATAAAGTACTTACATCAAATTGGTTTGTGTTAGTAAAAATAATGTCTGCGAACCTAGATCTTTTTTTTTTATTTTTTTTTTTGTTAGGGGAAAATCATCCCATGACTTCTCCCGCCCAGGGTAAGGCGAGAGAGAGTGTCAGACTCTTACTGACTAAAAACCCCCCGTTCCGTCTCCTGCTCTGGGCCGAGGTCGCGGTGCCTCATTGCGCTTACCCCGCAGCCCCGGCTAATCATTAGCCCCCGTTAGGGCCCCGACTGTGGTGGTCTATTGGCTCTTTGAGGCGCGCGCGGAACGCTACGCGCCGTACGCTCGGGTCTGGTTCTGGTCGGGCGGCGAGCTACCCTTACTCGCCGTCCGCAGACCCGCGCTTGCGGTGGCCGGAGATCATCTCTCGATCCCCGAAGTCCGATAGTTCCCTCACGCGCTCCGCCTCCTCCTTTGCGAGCATAACTGCTTCGCAGAAGGAGGAGATAGCTTCCCAGTTCCTCTCACGCTGCACCATGGCCTCGATTAAGGCCGGGCGCGAGAGGTCGCCGCCGCCGATCACTTCCCTGAGAACACGGCGGTGCTCAGCCCAAGCAGGGCACTCCGCCACCGTATGCTCCACCGTGTCCTCCAGGTGATCCTCACAATGACGACACTCGGGCGTTTCCTCCCGCTGGATCCGAAACAGGAACCTACCAAAGCTGCCGTGCCCGGTAAGCACCTGCGTCAGGCGGAAGGTGAGGACGCCGTGGCGTCTCTCAAGCCACTCCTCAAAGAGGGGTCTTACCGCTGCTATAGTAGCGTGCCCGGCCCTCGGTTGCGACAGTCGCTGCTTCCACTCAGCCATGAGATCTCGCCGGAGCTCATTCCGCCACGCACTAATTTGGCGCGGCAGAGGATCCTCGCCCCGGCGACGCGCGTCTGCGCGCAAACTGTAGACGCGCGCGAGCGCCTTCGCTTCCAGATCCCATGGCGGTGATCCGGCAAGGAGGTTCGCCGCCTCCCCGGAGATCGTGCGATATCCGCGGATTATTCGGATAGCCATGACCCTCTGGGACGCGACCAGCGTACGAGCCGGCCGCCGCTTCAAATCCGGCGCCCACACAGGGGCACCGTAGAGGGCCATGGATCGCACAATCCCCATGTACAACCTCCGGCAGGAGGCGTTTGGCCCCCCGAGGTTGGGAAGGAGCCGCTTGAGCGCGGCCCCAGACCGTTCCAACTTAGGAGCCAAACGACGAAAATGCTCCGTGAAGTTCCATCGGCTGTCGAGGACGAGACCCAGGTACTTCATCGCCGACTCGACGTCGATGGTAACTAATCCTGACATTATTTGGGACCCATCTGGAGGTGGCGCGTTCCGACGGCCATAAAAACACATGGCCTCGGATTTGTGAAGCGCCACCTCGAGTCCCAACTGCCGGATCCTTGCAACGACTGTCGCGACAGCTTGCGACATCAGGTCGGCCGCCGCCTGATGTGACCTCCCATTCGCCAGCACCAGCGTGTCGTCAGCATAACAAACAATGCTGACGCTGCTCGGGAGGTCGGTGCGTAGCACCCAATCGTACCCGATGTTCCACAGGAGAGGTCCCAGGACCGATCCCTGTGGAACACCGCGCGACACCTCTCGCCGATTCCACACGCCCCGGTGACCGGAGTAGATGACGCATCTGTCCGTCAAGTAAGCCTCGACTACACGACGGAGATAGGCAGGCACCCGGTGATACCGGAGTGCCCCCAGAATGCAGCTCCAGGGCAACGAATTGAAGGCGTTGGCGATGTCCAGAGACACCGCCACGACGACTCGCCCCCTGGCCAACGCAGTCCCCGTCGTGAGGTCCCTCACGCGCATGATGGCGTCCACCGTGGAGCGCCCTCTGCGGAAGCCGAACTGGCCGTCCGCTAAATCCGGCCCCCTTCCAGACAGGTGCCCGACGAGGCGGTCTGATATTATCCTCTCGAACAGTTTTCCCACCTCGTCGAGCAGCACAATGGGCCGGTATGCGGACGGAGAGTCCGCAGGACGCCCCGGCTTCTTCACGAGGACCAGTTTACCCGTCTTCCACGACAGCGGAAACTGGCCCCTCTCCAAGCATGCGCTGAAAAGACCAGATCTAATTGACCCTAAACCCCACCAAAGAATCACAGCTGTACCGAGCCATTATGGGCTCTTTTTTGCGTAAGTATTTTTTCTGCTAACACCTGGGGTGACAAGCAAACTTGTTTACACCTGACGTAAAACAGCTACCGTAGTCTTCAAACACCATATACACCAGATGTGTTGTACTTTACTCTAAAATCATTATAAGCCTATAAAACTCCTCTGTTAACTAAAGAGATCTTATCACATGGAAAAGGAAAATCATTATGCTTGCAGGCAATAGCTGATTTCGAACCTAAAATGACAAATATAACTTAAATTAAATTATATAGCACATAAAAGTCTAAACACTTTTATGCATGAGAAATGGGTGTCTAACTTTCGGGCTACCTTGACAGTCTTTAGTTAATGTTAGAAGTAAAATGGCAGTGGCATTTTTCATATTAGTCACTTTAGTCATAAGTCATACAAGATAATACATATAAGTAGTAAAACATTTCTATTTATTTGTAACCAACACACAACGTCTCTTATCAGGGACAGTGTGAAGAAATCCAGTAAATGGGAATAACGGAATTTGTATTAAGAAAAGTCTGTATTTTCCTAAAGATAAAGGTTCTTTACCCTTCTTATGTTTTAGCTAATATATAAAGAGTATTGGTAATATAAATTGTGCATTAACATCTCAGAATTAAAGTCGAAAGTAAGGTCCTTTTTTTATTTGTTAAAACATGAAGATTCTTCTCTTCTTAGCCCTTGTTTGTAAGATGACGGTCGACGCAAGAGGTAAGTCTTTTGGGTAATTAATTATATTGACGATTTGCTTTCAAAGTTTGGAATGAAATCCCTTTGAAGGGTTCACTCAAGAACTAAATCACTTTCTTATTTTGTAAATAAATAATCAGTCAATTGCAGGTCTTTAAGCCTTTGACTGCCGATGGAAAAATGTTGAAGGCGAATCCTCCGCTAACGGAGGTCACCGGTGACCCCCATGGCGCTTAACATGATTTTGTTGTGATGTTTAGTACTAACTTAATATTTTTTCCTTTAGCACTTTAAGTCATTCGAATACTATGTGGAATTTTCTTAGTACCTACGTGGTATTATGTTTTCTTTTCGACTAGCTGATAGTTATTTCAATTACAAAAATACATCCAATTCTTGTAATGTAGTAAAAATTTCTTCCAGAAGGAGACTGTGGGGTGATCCCGATAAGTAAATGGGGAAATTTGCCTCTCAAAAGAGAGGACCCTCTTCCGAATCCAGTGAAAATTGTAATCATTCAACACACTGTAGTACCGGAGTGTGTTAGTGATGAGGAGTGCGAGAAAGCAGCCAACGGCATTAGGAATTACCATATTACCAACCGTGGATTCACTGATATAGGACAATCGTAAGTATTCCTTTTGTTATAAAGTTTAAACTCGTCTGGCCAATCTATTTAGTTTTGAATACTGATACTGTTGAACTGTTTATTAACAACACTCAACCGTCCCAATAATGATAACATTATATGTATTTGAAGGTCAAAGTGGTTTGGTCGCTGGTCCCTGGAGATGCACAAATTTTTATAAGCTGTTTTAAAATAAGTACACAGTATGTCCCTTAAGCTAGAATGACAAAAAGCGAATCTATCCCTATCGTTTTAAAAGTGATAATTAACTGACATTGTTAAATGACGTGTACATAGTGAGATCGCGCAAACCAAAATAACTTTACTCGAATCGAAGAAGCTTTTGCAGTCCGTCTCTTCACCCGACCAACAATATAAGGGTCAATAACCTTCCAAAGTAGTTTTCCCAAGTCATTTGTACTTCCCACAGATTGCTAATTGACCAAATTTGTTCCCTTTCCTTTGATTTCCATTAAGACTTTTTTCTTTGAGTTCAATGTGTTTTGATGGATTACCAGGTTCCTAATTGGTGGGAACGGAAGAATTTATGAAGGAGCTGGCTGGCATCGCGTTGGGGCTCACACTTTGGGCTACAATCGAAGATCGGTTGCAATTTCTTTCATTGGAGACTTTAGAAGTAAGTTTTATTTGTTTTTTTTTTATGCTGGCTTAGGTTTATTTCTATTTACTGAAAATGCTTGATACCTGGTATGGAATTCTGGTAATCGCTAAAAAGAGTTACGTTACTTGATTCTTGGTATTGTTTATTAATTTAAACTTTATGCAACAAAACATGACATAGGTGGACTTAATGCCGTAGGTATTCTCACCAGTCAATTGTGGTGATGCAGAGAGAGCATGGTAGGTGCAACAAGAAAACTTTGAGACGATAAATTAAGATTTAAATATACAACAAGAACACTAATATAAATAAATATTTATATATATATAGAATAATATAATTATACTGGTATATAGTGGTATGGTTAATAAAATAAATACTCAGTACATACTTATATAAATAGTAGTATATATATATATATATATATATATGAAATAAATTATATATATTATACACAGTAAATACATAACATAAGGGTTTTATGATGATGGTTCTAACAAAAGTCCATTCAAAATGTGCTTACGCAATTCAGCCTTAAACGATTGCTTACTGGTAGCCTTCCTGATTTCCAAGGGCAACCCATATTGTGGCTATGTAAACTTTCCATTATTTTTATGTAAAACACTAGGAATTTCTTCTGTGTCGTGGGTGCTTTTAAACAATTTGTAGATTATACAAAGTGTTTTCTGGTGCGGGGACTGAACCCATGACAGCGTTTCACAGCAGCCGCTTCTCCAGCCACTAGAGTCCAACCCTGCAATGACACCTTTATCCAATCAATCAATCGAAAACGTTTATTTGCTAAAATACGATACAAAAGATGTTACAGTGCATTATTTTTCAGCGTATCCTGCCATATATGGCGTGCAAATTAATTATTAAAAATACACTATATAGATTCTATCGACTTGTCTTCTAAAAAGTCCTTAATACTATACCGTAAATCATTGATAACAAAATTTAAAAAGTTTCTTAAATTACTCTTCAATGACCTTAGTGAAACAATTGAATCGATTTTGACAAGCGAAAAAGTAAATATCCCACACCCACAATGGCCCACAGTTTTTATCATATACAGTGAAGTACCTACAACGGAATTTAATTTAAAGTAAGCAAAATGTTATTTGGCTTTTTATACTCCGGTTAAACCACACCAGTTATTACCATGTCAGGGTCAGATCAGGGCCTTGAATCTGTGCGTGAATTATACATGAAGTCCTTGGAATCGCGTTGGTGTTGCAGCTTCAGTAAATATGGGAATAAGGCCGCTGTAGACACGGCCCTGGAGCTTCATATATTGTGAGACCCTGGCACGATATGGTATTAATAAATATGGCGTGATCTCGTTAGTCTGAAGATAACAAGAGAAGATCGATTTAGAATTCCGATAAGGAATTTAAATAGATCTTCTTGTATTTATAAAGAACTTATGTTTATATTGAAACATGGTAATAATGTAGGACAAATATTATGTATACCTGATGAGAATCTGGTAGGACATCTACAATTGTTTTTTGTTTGAATAACAATAAAAACTCAACGTAAATTTATTGGTGAATATTTAGTTAAAATATTTTGTAAATTTTTAGTAGTGTGTGTATTTTTAGGTGTAAGTGAATTTGTAGTAAATTTATTGGTGAATTTTTAGTAAAAGTATTTTAAGAATTATATTTTAGGTCCGTTTAGACTTTAAAAGGTTAAATAAAGTTCAAAATTTTAAAAAATATGTTTGGATAATTCGCTAGGCAGAATTTTTCGTAACTTTTTAATAATAACTTTTTTTTTATTCACAGCAAAATTACCATCAGCTCAAGCCTTGAAAGCTCTCAATAGTCTACTGGAATGTGGAGTAATGAACAAATATTTAGCCAAGGACTATAACCTGGTCGCTCACAGCCAGCTCTCTATGACTGACAGTCCAGGAGAGATGCTGAGAAAGCAAGTGGAATCATGGCCTCATTGGCTAGATAATGCAAAGGATGTACTTAATTAGATGAAGATTTTATAAGTTTGGTACTACCTCATTCCCGTTTTCATCCGCTGTTTGATTTCTTTTAGTTGTAGTTTGTGATATGATATTTTCTCATGATTGACAAAATAAAATAATATATATATATTAAAAAAAAAAACATTTTCCCACATTTGAATTTTCTCCTGTGTCGTGGGTGCGTTTACAAACATACAATATCACATACACATCACACCCAGATCCGGAACAACAATCTGTGGATCACACAAAGAGTTGTTCCGTGCGGGAATCGAACATGCGACACGTTGCGCGGCAGCCAGTTGCCCAGCCACCGCGCCCACCGTGTAGTCAGAAAGAAAAGTACAAAGAAGATAATATAAACAATCCTCCTTTAGTGCTTAGTAAGAACTTTTTAAAGTAATTAAAATGTTACCGCATTTAGCCCTCTGATTGGTTGGTTAACATGGTATAGGCCAATCAAAGCTCAGAACGTCATAAGCGTGTCGATCGTCTTAACTTAAAGCGACATTGCTTTAGGCGATTATGTTGGTTATTCTGGCGAGTATGGTGTGTATGGTGTTTCCTATTTCTAAAATTAAATTATTGATGATAATAAGGCATAAGGTAGACTTTCACACGTCATCACTTACATAAAATCACTCACTGGATGAGGTATTTCCTATTTGAGCAGGTACTCTGTTTTCGTCTTTATTAAAAATTGCTTATGTCATGTATGGTTTCCAAGTAGTTGTTTGTGGTTGTGTTAAGCTTTGATTACCAAAACCAAAAAGTATTATTGAAATAATTTATTTAAACGAAAATTGTATTATAATTTAAGAATGAAATCATATAAATTTAAGCTTAAATGTATTGATTTCGTGTTTTTATAAATATATATTTTTAATTATGAATTATTTTTATTTTTTTATAGTTATGTCAACATGGTAAACCTCGAAAATTAAAATGTTAACTAAAATTATTAGATAAATATAGAGCAAATATTAAGAAAAACGAGTCTCATTAAATCCTCTATAATATTGGAAATATGGCGAAGAAACGCAACAAATCCTTAAGAAATTCTGAAACGTCCTTTGTTTTTTTTAATTCTTAATCATTTCTTAGATTTTAATATAATACAATTGACGTCAATAGAAACTCACAAAGAAAAACAAAATTATGAAAATGTTACAGGTCATCAGGTTTCTGACCTTATTACGTAGGTTTTATTATTATTATTGTCACATTAACACATAAATCAACAATATAATAACACACAATGTGTTATTTCATACGTAAAATGTACAGTCGAGGCAAATTGTTACCTTATTGTAAAGTAATTTTAAGGTTTACTTTTTAAAAATTCCGTTGGTTTTAAATTATAGCTATTAAAATAATGTCTTTCCAGTCCAGCCCAGATCAGATTTGTGGAAAAATTTAATAAAGAATTTTAAAATTAAAATTGTTACGTTTTTCTCGGAAGGAAATAAAGATACCTAGTATTAAAAAGTTTTTATTGCACAGATAATTTTGCGGGAAAATAATTATAGTTATAAAAAACACGCATGGAATGAAATTTCTTTTGTATGCAAGTTTAAATTTCGAAAACAGTTTTAACATTTTTGAAAAAAAATTGTCTTTGTTCCAAATATAACCTATACCAAAAAGGTTTCTTTATTGGTAACTATGTTTTTGCGTGTTACTCTATCTACTTATTAAATAATACGTCATTATTGCGTAGTCCTGCATGGAGCCATGTTATTAAAGCGTAATTATAACGATGCGTAGTCAACAATAATATTATGTTACGTAGTTACTTACGTACATACGTGGTAATTGATTATTTGCATGTTTTTTTCGAGTTATTGAAATAAAGCACTGTTTTTCTTTTCGACCAGCTTGTAATTCTTATTAGCTACTTACAAAAGTTGAATTTCGAATTCTATTAAAAAATTTCTTGACAAAGGGCCTATTTGAGAGTGTATGTTTATACACTCTCAAATAGGCCCTTTTTATCACAATCTAGCTACCCTTCTCTGTTTCGGGTGCAATGCTGATATTTCTCCACTATTTAATGGATGTTATCACTTATTATACATATAAACCATACTTTTCAAACACCCCACCTTTAAAAAAACTGCATCCATCCATCCGTTACGCAATTTTAAAGGTTTTTTTTGTTTGTGAGACTTCTCCCGCCCAGGGCCGGGCAGGAGGGAGTGTCAGACTCTTACTGACTAAAAACCCCCCTGTTCCTTCTCCTGCTCTGTGCCGAGGTCGCGGTGCCTCATTGCGCTTACCCCGCAACCCCGGCTGACGCAATTTTAAAGGTTAAGGTATAAATAGGGACAGAAAATGCGACTTTGTTTTGTACTATGTAGTTATGTTTTGAAATTCTCTATTTTAAAATTGCCCTAATTAGGCGAAGTCTAGACCGTATTTAAAAAAAAAGCTGAACTATGATGACAAATATAAAAAAACTAAATTGTTAAAATAAAATTAATGTGTATTTAAATCTCAAGCCTTCCATGTACCACCTTTTTGTTTGTGATTATATGTATTTCTCTTTTTCTCTATGGTACACAGCACTTTTATATCAATGGTTGGCTTCACGTATTTTTATTTCACTTTGTAAGTATACAATTTTCTCTTCAATAAATAAGTTTAATACATGTTATAGTATTTTTTAAACAAAAGTTAACATGGTAGGACAGCGTGGTTGATAGTTATTAATGTGGACATAAATCGTCAGTAATACGAACCGGCAGTAAAACAAAAGTTAACAAAAATAATAAAAAAATACTTAGAAGTTCTTGAGTCGGGGATCAGAATACACTATATTAATGTTAGTTCTCCATAAGCACTACCTATGAGTAATTAAGATTTAAAAAAAAAACCGTTAACAAAATATTAAGAACTAGCTTTTGTCTACGACTCCGTTCGCGTGGAATAGTGACTTCCTGCAGATTTTTGGTATAAAACTATCCTATGTAATTTCTCGAGTTCCAAACTATGTCTGTACCAAATTTCACTAAAATCGGTTCAGTAGTTTAGGCGTGAAGAAAAGACAGACAGACAGACATAATTACTTTCGCATTTATAATATTAGTTTGGATATCGTGTTCAAAGTTCGCTTGACTAGCTCTGACCTTCCACTTCATTAAAAGAGAGTTATTGTTTCGCTGTAAAAGTAAACAAGTCTTGATATTCATCTCTGCTCGAACTTTAACCTGCGTTATAACAATTACCTTTTATCATGTTTGAACTCTGTCATTTTTAGAAGATACTTTGATCTCGGGTCTTTGACCGTCTGGTTAGTTCCGAGTTCCTTTCTTATTTAGTTTAGTATAAGTTTGCGTTATATTTTTTATGGGCGTCTAGGTCGGCAAACGAGCGGACGGATTACGTGATGGTAAGCAATCAGCGCAGCCTATGGACAACCGTAACACCAAAGGAGTTACGAATGCGTTGCAGGCCTTTTAGCGAGGGATAAGGGTTTCGGATATTTAAGGATTGGAAAACTGATTATATGAGGTAATACTATAGTAAGTAAGTACATATATGTATATATGTATATAAGTTATTGTAGTGAGAATTCACATAGGTTTTGTTTCTGAGAAATGGTCTTATTTCAGTATGTCTCATTAGCCACGAAATCCTATATACATATATAGGTATATATTCTAATGAGAGTATAACGTAATCTACATGAACAAGTTGAAGTATGAAGCTAGTGAAACAGACGCTCAGAGAATTTGTAATCACACGTGGAGTTGCTTAGTGACATCTTTTGTGGTGATAAAACAAAATGTTAGTAGGTCACAATAATTATAGGCATTGTGGTCTGTGACGTGTGAATGTGTGTGTAAGAAAATATAATTATTAAATAAATAGATATTTATAATGTGTTAAAGGCGTTTGATACATTGATTAATGTTTTCATGTAAGTACCTACATGTATTTACGTACGTTTCATTGTGTTAGGTCAAAAGGACAATGTGATTATATGTATGTGTACGCGTATTACGTAGATATCTCCCGCGTAATGCATTGCAAGTTTGATTTTAGAACACGTGTTCGACTTTTTTTTTTAATTGTTTTTTTGTTTCATATTTTTATTCTGGTACTAGCTACTCTCTCGCAGTTTCACCCGCTGCTCGGCTCCATTTAAACGTAGCGTGATGTTTTATAGCATATAGCACTCAGGAACATTGTAGCAGTAAAAGAATTTTGGTAATCCGACCAGCGGTTCCAAAGATTACACCCTACATACAAACTTTTAAATTTTATCTCTTTATAATATTTGTATACATTTGCTTATTTTATAGAGTAGGCTGAAATTATAATTAGTTTTTGATAATTATGTACAGCACAGATTCACTCATTATTGGACCTTCTTTCTGCTATCACTCTAGGTTTTTTGCCATCCTCACCTATTTCGATCTTCTATATTGTACATTTGCATAATACTTGTTAGTCATAAGTTATGCTTCTTCTGGCTTCATGGCTCGGAATAGGAAAACCTATGGTATGGTTTTTAGTCAGTCTGGCTCTCTCCCTCGATCCACTTAGGTTGGGAGAAGAGACATCACGATTTCCCACCTTCCAAAGAAAACTATGTGATTAAATAAATATGTGATTAAGTTATTCATTCATTTATTTGGAACAATAATAGTGCAACAAAAGTTGTAAGTATCTATAGATTACAGAATCAGGTCAGTCTATTTTTTCATCTAATAACAAGAGCAATGTTGTATTTATTATAAAATTTTAGCGTCGATTCGTTTACGTCTTTACCCCTCTCATAAAGACGAAGATTTTGGGGTTTATAGCTCTGTTTATAACCAGTTAAACATTTACTTTAATTTCGCATTAAATCAATTGAAATTTTCACTGTCTGCCTTCGTTTTTGAGTGGTTGTAATCCCGTCTAAAGAGAAAAGTAATCTCTCATTTGATCCTTTGAACAAAATAAAATACTTATTTTAAAAATCTTTCAAAAAGTTTTGTAAGTACGGTAAGATCATCCATCTTACCGTACTTACAAAACTTTTTGAAAGATTTTTAAAATAAGTAT